TTCTAGCTAAACCACTTCAGAGAAATTATCAGATTTTCGCTGAAATATTTTTTCAACCACAAATTCAGTAGAAGAAAGAGCTTTTGCGAGAATTGCCGACAGCACAAAACCATAAGTAATAGCGATTGAATGTCCAATTGTATCATCCATTGTTAACTGCTTTGACTGGTAGCACATTCACTGTACGTCCACCAGTGAAACCTTAAATTTGAAAATAGAAATTGAATGAGTTTCGAGAAGTGAATCTGATGAATTTGCCAAAGAAGGGTTATATTTGAATATGTCACCAGCAAAAATAAAAATTGAACTATCACATCATCATGAATGAGCTAAAAAAAAAATGGCGAACCGTTTGGAGATTGATAGATTTTAGTGTTTCCGCACCGGAACAGTTGAGTGAGTGTTTCAGTAAAAGGCCGTATGAAAACTAAGCATAATGTTGGATGTATGCAGTTTTGCCATGGACTCATAGCCGTGTATATGCGCGTTGCAAACATTTGATCAGTCTCAGTGTATACAGCAAAATAGGCGACGGCTGACGGAAAAGTATCAAATACGAACGGTAAAAGTGCCTGCAATCAAAAGCAGAATCTTTTTTTTCTATCGCGAATGAAGTTCTTGAGAGAAGATGTATTCATATGATCATGCAGATAAAAACTGTTTTGGAACGATTTTAAATGTGCCGACGGCATCCGAAGTTTATTGGTTGTTATCCTGTCGTCAAGTTATGTGAATCTGGTGTGGATAGGAAGGTGCTTTGGATAACACGATTGGACTATCTATTTTATGTCTTGGTGAATCTATTGCATCGATTCTATGAAATGATAATATCTATTTTATTGTAAGTTGAACCGAAAATGATTTCGGTGAGCTGAACAGCTTGCTGGTGAATGGTTGTTTGATGAAATTATGGATAGGAATAAAATTTTTTATGAAATTCATTTCAATTTCAGAACCTGCATCGATACGAGTAACGTGAAACGTTTTTGCAACTTTTGCGTTTCTCTTGATCCATTCATCTCTGAGACTGCTTTCGATACCGAAATAGCACAAAATGTGGCGATCGAATATGCAACAATATTTGATAGCACGAACACTACGAGTAGAATAGTCGCGCGAATGTTCCCCTAAACATTCGCTTTGATTCTAATTCTTCTTCATGCCGTACCTTCATTCCAACACAAAAGCTCACTGCTTTCCAATACGTTTGAAGTTTCATGAGTTTGTTCGATTAAGCGTGGCGGATGGAAATTTTGATCGCATATGCTAGAATTTTTAGTTAAGTGACTTTGCTTTCTACATTTCGATTTCGAGTTCATTACCGTAGTCTCACTGACCGCTTNATCGAGAAATTCAATCGCAAGTGATCATTCTTATGGAAGAATTATTTTGAGTCTGTTGACTTAAGAGTGCTCATAAACTACTGAATAACCTTTGTCGTTTTCATGTAAATAATATAGCCGATGTCAGGTGTTAATGCAGCTTTCTGAATAGATGAAACCGCAATGAAGCTATTCAATGCTTCCGTCATACATATGATACTAACCATAGATATACTGATCCGAAACATTGTGTCTTTTTTCGATGACCTAAAAAATCTCATCATTTTCCAGTTTGTTGACATTTTAAACCGTCAATAAGCGAAAACTTCATTGCTGAATGTTATTTCCATTCAAGATGCAATCGCTCATTGCGCATTTCTTTCACAGTACACACAGATAGTTGAAAAGATAACTGACAGTGGATCATATTGTGCTCCAAATCAAGTGAAATGAAGTTGTTCGAGGAAAAAAAGCCTGAGAGTCTAATATAAGTCATCCTTGAATCGTTGAAGATGCTCGACATTTGAGCATGTTAGATGTCACTATTCATATTTGATGGTTAGATGCAAAATTTTGACAAAGAAGTGATAAATTTCATACCAACAGATTTTTCGATATTGATTAACGAAAGCGATCGGAAAACCGATTATTGACAGCAATTGCAAATCCTTCCACAACGTCACAATGGCAATGACACCATTGGGTGGCAAGAAAACCGCTGGACCTGTTGCAACCACGTGTTCCTGGTTATTTATGCAGTAATATCGCTGAAAGTAACATTTCTCCAGGTAACATCACTTCAGTGAACGCACTACATGAAAGCACTGAGATTGCTGTCTAAATGCGAGCTTAATGGCATTGTGTTTCTCGAAATGCGCTACGTTTGTTTGTATAAAGTCATTCTTCTGTTGAAATATTCGCCNATTGATATAGATATTCAGTGTGAAATAAGTAATCTTAAACGTACAGCTTTAACGACATATTTAATGATGGCATTACATAGTTCCACCAGTGACAAAGTGGCGAAAATCCATCTGTATGAGCGTATATCAGCGTTACGAATTTTGAACGTTAGAAAAATTATCAGTGAATTCGCAACGACTGCTATAGCACATGACAATGTGCCATTGTAGTCAAGGAACTTTAACAGTGCTGGGCTCATATCCGTGTTTGGACAGTCGTTACTTGAACGATTAGTCGGAGTTATTGCGGGCAGCAAAGAAGGCATTTTGATCGGCTCTGAAATCTATTGTAAACTTAAGTGTTCACGGGAAACAATTAACGCAAGTTGGTTCTTGAATTGTTCAAATGCAATAAAAACAAAGCCGTAAACAAGCTGAGGACCGACAGTGCGATCGAACGAGTTGCGTTGAAAATTCCGGCCGCTTCAACCACGTGATAGTCTTCTCTAAACCAATGGTAAAAAATTTCTGGACTGTATGGTCATAAATCTCCTCACCGAAACTTATATTATCGTGAAGGATATCTCCATGTTCATGCTGAATCCTTAATTGATGCAACTTGATTTCAAGAACAAGCGACTGTTCTTGAACTGATCGTGATCAACTGATCAAGAGAATATGGGCCGTAGAACTAACTTCTCAATGAGTGCATCACATAATGAATGCATAAGGTCTGATTTGTAGAGCACTATGTGGCTAATGCGACAGCAGAACCGTGTGCTTATGCAGGAGAAGAAGCTGAACTAAATTAGTGCAGCAATGAAGCATTTCCGTGCTCATTTAACTATTTAACTATTTCCATGACTATTTAACATTTCCATTTAACAATTCGAACTTACAGGTCAAAGGTGGAAATGTTCAATGATTGAATCACATTCCAGATTGAATCACATTAATTTTTCAAATAACGGTTATGACCTTAACATAATCGTTTCAATGTATTGGGACTGCAATCAAGTATGATTGCATTCCCAATAGAACATTAAACAATTTCATTTCAATTTCTTGGAATAGTTCTTCTGTTTAGCCATGAAAATGCTTCATTCACATAATAATTTTCAACGCACAAATAATTTTCATCCAAACTTAGCCACTGAATTTTTTTAAAACTTGTTCAGTACTATTTTTGGGATATTTTGGAAGCGAAAAAAAATGATGATCCATAAAAATTTCGAAAAACCTAACTCTTTAGTCGAAATCTTGAAGCATTTCGACTATTTAACATTTCCATTTAACATTTCGAACTTGCAGGTTGAAAATGGAAGTGTTAAATGATTTTTAGATTCAATCACATTAATCTTTCAAATGACGATTATGACCTTAATGCTTGATAATCTGGTGGCGAATCCGAATGAACGTTCCTTCACCCGGATTCGCCACCAGATTATCAAGCATTTGCATAAGATAATACAATGATCGAATACCTGAATGAAAAATTTTTGGGATGAAAAAATTTGTATGGATCGTGTGAATGATACCAATGTCTCTTTGATGTTAATAGAGTCGATACGAGCTAATATTAAAATACGAAAGAAATGCAATAATGCAGCGAATTCGCGACGCACTAGCTTCAAGAGGAGATCAAACATTGAACATATCATTAATATCACTCACAATAAATTTCATTTATAGTCTTGATGACACCATTTAAGAATCAGTATCCGTTACGGATACCATTCGCAACATGATTTCATTAATAGGTGTCATTAAATAATCGTGCATGTAAGATGTGTCGTTTCGTTATTTCTTGTCCTCATTTCGTTATTTCACCACATCGCTGACTGTTTTTCGATGTCCTTTTCTTTGAATATCTTTCTTAATTAAATGATATTTGAACGATCATGTAATAAAATTTCAGCCAAATGAGATTGCAGAAAGACTATTTTTTAATATGTGCATTAAAAAGCTTTATGGTTATTACGCAACTGCTTGTGGTTCACTGGGGTACTGTCCACGAGAATGTTTAAACTTTGTGCACAGGACACCGAATGCTAACAACTTTCTAAACGTTCCCTAGTCATTGTCATAATTCATCAAATTATCATTAACAATCGTGATCAATTACGTATCAAAACTACAAGTTTGCAGTATGGAAGAATCTGTTATCTCATATTTATCGAGATTATGTTGATTAATTGCTTACGTTGTGAGACCAAGACGAGGCACACAGTAACCTTTTATTGTCAACAGTCGGGGGGTTAAAACACTGACGTAATTTGAAAGATAATCAAGGAATAGCAACAGCAACAACGACAGAAAGACTTGGGCCTTTTATTGGTGTAATCGGATGATCCAATATTGAACTACAATAGAGGCAAAGGGCATACTATTCACAGTTCAATTACTTACGATGTACAAAATTGAATAAGTTACATTTGCGCATGTTATACAATCATTACAATTAAAATACGATATATTTCGAGATTTACGGTCCACTGGTTACTTTTGCAAATATTATTTTCGGAGTTGAATATTTTCAGATTCATAACAATTTTAACACATTAAATGACGAGTAAGTGGTGAAGAGGCATACGATTATGCCGTAGGAAGAACCCTTCAAAGTTGCGAGATTCGTCGCAACACAAATCATTTATTCTTGAAAATAACGTTTAGAAACCAACCATTTTAAAAATCAAAAAATACTTATTTATAGTCACTCCAACGCTTCTTACTACTCCGCGTGCAGTCATTTCGGAGCAAATAGTCCTGGCATTTAGAGCAATATATCCGAGCGCAACAATCACCTCAGGGCATGTTGCTAGAGAATAAAGAACTTCTTCTATTCAAGCAGAAGAGAGGCTTGAGTTCGAATCGATTTCAGCTTTATTCTAAACACACTCCAATATATTCTAAATACATTTGCAGTATGATTTACTTCCAAGATAATTTTCATATNCTGCACTATTGAGGAAACGTTCATTGGTCCTGAATTTTGAGAGCAATCAAACGGAATAATTGTACGTGTGGAAATTGACGGCAAGTGTTCACACTACACCACAAACTCAACATAGACATGGATAGTTTGTTGATTCAGTACTTCTGAGGAACTGTTGCAGTTAGTGGATGAGTTTTTTGCAATTATCTTTGAAATGTGAGAGATGTTCTCTGAAATTTGAATGTGTCATAGTTCATTGATGGAGAATATCTTGTAGGTGCAAAGATGGCATTTGTTAAATAATTGTAACGAAAACGACGAACCCATAGAGACCTGATGAACTCTTTGATGCCTACGAGGAAGCAACTGGACGAGCGCCTCAACGAACGGTCGAATGAAGATGAAGCACAGAATCGGATGTATGCAGTTCTTCCATGGGTTGAGTGCAACATAAACATAAAGTAAGTCCAATTGGTTCATTTCATTATACAATCCGACATGTCCAATCAACGTGGGCAATGTGTGAAAGACGAGCGGTAAGAGTGCCTGTTAAAAATGACCTTCATCAATCGCCATTCTGTAGGCTCGAAGAGAACAATCTGGTCTATTCCCCATATTGGAATATAAGAGTGGTATGATGTTAAGATGTAGAACCTTAACCTTCTCGTCACTTACCGCTGTTAAGACTTATACAATCTGAAACCTCGAAAACTTTTCGCCCACGAGTTCCAAAAGACTCTGTCCGCTGACGGGTGTGAACAGGACATATAATGCTGACAGCATTAATAGAACAGCACAATATGAGTGCCATTCAATTCAGTTATTTGCAATTCAAGCAGCACTCAAAAGAATAGTAAATTTCAGACCACATATACCTAGGCACGCCAATGTTGAGCAGTTAAAAGTGTGCGAGCAAACCAAAAATTGAACCGACTGTAGATCAACGAACAGCAATACTACCTGCATTGATATAAGTAATGTGAATCGTTTCTGCATTTTTCTTGTTGTCTCGTTTGTACACGCGACGGATATTCTTATCAACGTTGAAACACCACAAAATCCGGCAACTGAATACGACACTGCCGTTGGCACAGCGAACATTACCAATCTCGCTATAGTCTTGTAGTCTATCTAAAATCAATCATCATGCACCTTATACGCACATTGATTGTCGCCACTTTTAACTTCAGTATTCTCATTCATTTTTTGAAGAGTTCTTGTCTAACTATGTATTTTAGCAGAAAAGTGAGCAAAGGAAAACGGCTGTGAGTTGAACTGGAATCATTCGTTTTTCGTCGTTCATCCTAACATTAGCATGTTTTGAATTAAATGTAAAGTAGCATCCAATTCAACTATGAATTTTTTCAAAAAAATCCGAACATACCGCGTGTTCGACGTTTAGCTGGTAACCAAAATGTGGGATTTTGATGATATTTTCGACGGAACTTATTACCAAGAAGGAATTGAATGCGATCAGAGCACTAGTCACAACAGTTACAATCACGATCGCAGTTACTAACCAGAATGAATTTTGGTGTCTCCTACTGAAATTTCGAACAAATCAATCTTAGTATTTGAAGCTATATCAACAGATTTAGCCGTTAATTGAATGATTTGCTTTCATAAGATTGTATTCCACTCAGCGACGAACAATTGATCATTTCAGGCAACTCCATCAGCTCTCAATAAGCCCGAGCGATATTATGCGGGATAAAAGCGATGAGCTTGATCACTTTTGCTCTTTACGAGACTAATACCATGATAGAATTAGAATGCCGAAAAAACTCTCTTTACTTAAACTCAAGCTACTCTCATTCGATCACTTCTGCATTGTTTTGTAGTGAAATTTCTTTTTCTAACTGCTATTCGTGAGCGCAAGTCTTAAACAATCACGTATCGCTTTTTTAAATTCATTCATTCAGAGGGTATTTGACATTGAACAGTTATTCGTTAACAGACAACAACGCTTCATGATTTCATTATTCATTAACAGAAAAGGATGTTTCATGATTGCATAGAATAAACTCCATGAACTTTCCGTCACCTACCAACAGATATTTCTATATTGGTAAACAAAACCAATCGGGAATAAGACAGTCAACAACACTTGTATATCCTCGTTCAATGCTGTCATTGCAATCGCTCCATTTGGCGGTAGTGAAGCAGCTATACCAGTGATAGCCATTTGCTTCTCATTGCCTATACGGATATATCGCTGAAAGCGCACTCCGTAGCATGGAAAGGCCAGTTTTGGAAATATTCATACTTTTAAATTAGTTGAATTTTCAAGTTATTTATTGAAAACCATACGGGGAAGAATATTTGAATAAATCAATAACAATTAGTTTAGTGAGGAGCAGTGAGATCGGATCTCAGCTGATCTTGATGAATATCCAAGATACAGTAACAAATTCGCCAACTGTATCACTGAGTTGATTAGCCAGCGAAACGCATTCAAGTCATTGAATTCCATTGAAAGAAACATGTTTTACATGATGGAATCGTCGATTCGAACAAAATATTGAATACTGAACGTACAGCCTTGATTAGATATTCCGTGACTGCATCAGCTAACGCCCCAGCTGCTTGTGCTGCGATCACCCACTTGTACGCACGAATATCCACATTTCGTAACCGAAACGCCAGCAGTATCACCATTGAATTTCCAACGACGGCTACGATCACTGACAGCAGATCGCTGCAGTTGAGAAAAACGTTAAGAGCCGGATACATTCTCATCGTTGCGATTGTGCTCGAGTCTTCGTGCAATTTCAAAGAGAGGATCCATTAGCTGAAAGAGCAAACAAATTTTAGAAGAACGTCTCGCTAGAGCATACTGGAACGTTTTGAATACGTCAGCACTTGGAATGAAAACGTTCAAATGAAGGCGGAACAGGAACGCCATGAAAGGTTTGAATTTTTCGAATACTATCTGATTGAGATCATTGTTCGACAAGGTTGACTCTGACTATCAAACGGGAATCAATCAGCGTGTTTCGGGCATCATTGCAGGTTGTATTAAAGTTGCAATTGAAACGATACCTGCTTATTAGCACTGAACTAACATCATGGAGTGGCTATTTGATGATGAAGCGTTTGAAAATGAGATAAAGACATGATACCTGACGAGACAGTTATGCGTTTATGCGGCTGAATCGTGTGCACATTTTCATGAAAGTGTCCATACTCTGGCACATCGAGTGGGTGAATCGGCGAAGTGGTCTGAGTGCTTGAATGACAGAAAATGTTCACGTTGAAGAACGTATTTGGCTTTTTGAATGAACTTTTCGGAAGCTCTGCTGATCGTTGCTCACTGATGACGAAAAGTGAATTTGTTTGTTTTCAGAGCACATGAGAGTTTCGCTCGACACTGAAGCATCAATTTGGTCAAATTATGGAAAGGCTTTAGATGAGATGAGTAAGCCGGATTATGGATACTGATGTCAATTTCTCTAATCCATCTTTGAACACTTCACAGAACCACCACATATGGATGCGAATGTCTAAATTCTCTAACTACTGTTTCAGAGAGCAGGTTCTTGATGAACGTTGCTCGTTTACACTACAGTTGTTGCAGAAATCCTAATTTGATCGCTGATATTAAGCTCATTCAACGTTTCAAAAAATTCGAATTTGCTGCTGTCTCGGTTTCTTACTCACTAGTTGCTATACTTACTTACCTAAACTGTGTTACGTCCCATCCTCTTCGTTCGATTCACCATTTTTTTCCGATCCCTATCTTACGGAATTGATAGCGCCACAACCTCTAACTCACGTTCGACACGTTCCTATCTTAATCCCCAAAGTATTCCCTTCTGTCGTTAGTAACTGTCACATTATCAGTCGTAAATATTATCTAACCTTGCTTTTGAAGATAATTCTCGCCACCATATTCTCATTCTGATATTATCGAATCTGACGTGTGTTATCATTAATAAACTTATTCCTATATTCTTCGCTTGCACATATCAACGAAGCGCTGACTAATTCGCCGAGAAGCAGTAATTAGTCTCGATATTTAAATTCGCCAAGATACAACAAGAATTTCCCGACACATTTCCTATAAAATAGTAAATTCAGTAAGAAAACTGAAAAGCTGGACAAAAGTTTCTCTCATATAACCGACCATCCACGGAAAATATTGCTTATATGAGAGAGATTTTTGTCAATAATCATTCGAAAGTCACAAATGGAATTTTTTGAAAGGAAATGAAATTCTACCTGGAAGGATGACGAATATGCACGAAGCAAGTAGAAGTCGGATTGATGACCAAAGTATAGCCAATATCAGCACATTTTGAGGATGTCTGAATAGTTGATGCTGCCCTATATGAATAAAATGCCAACAATGCACATATGATGCCCCGACCTCGCATGCAATTGCAACGAAAAAATTTTCAATTTTCGATCACACTCTTCGAAAACGCCCATTTTCATGAATCACTTTCGCTGAACGTGACAAATTTGCGATAAACTGATGATTAGTGATGGATGCAGCGTCTGAGATTTCATGCTTAATTAACTTTTCATTGAACAGTTGTTTCACAGCCAAAAGTGAAATAATTTGATAAAATATAAGCTTGAGTTTCATATAAGCTTAAGGGTGCATGGATATTTAAGCTTGAGATGCATGGATAATTAGATTGTATTCATAAATGGATAATCAGATTCTCGGATAGTTACGGTTCTATCGCTGTCCCACTATTGATTAACCAGTAATTAACCATCTCTTTCTCTAAACACAGCGTTTAATTAGCTCCATGGGACCATAGCGTTACTCTCCAATTAAACAAAATTTCGATAATACACAACAAACGATTTATCAAGCAGGTGATCTTAAGTGTCGATCAATCAATAACCGCATACAAAGCAGGAGGAGTGTCATTTAAATCTGGTCTATCGCATTATGAAACTTGATTTAGCCTATAATTCAAAGTATAACTTGAATTGACCTGAAAAAGTAACCACAGTTATTTCATGAAAATTAAAGACAGGAATAGACAAGCACAGAATCTTCCAATTGAAAATTCATCAGGCAACATATTAGTCTACACTGAATGATGAAAGCGATCGGAAAAGCAACAGTTGATGGCCATCTTGATCAATTGTCAATATGGCAGTGGTTCTATATCCTCTCCCTATCAACACCGTTCATATGAAGAATTCAGAATGTTGGTTATTTTCAGATGCATCACTTCGCCTCAGTGCATTGAACGCTGATTAAAGCACTAGCTATCCATGGAAATCCTCATCTAAGATGCAAATATAATACTAATTTGAACTAACATGTTGAATTAGCATGAGAGCAGTGGGATCACGATGAATTTGATCTATCACATGTTGATTCAATACGACACTGCTGCATGCGTCACTAACAAATCATATTTTTGAATAGTTAATCTTAAAATATCTGATGAATTGGTTTCGAAATGATTTCCGAGTGACAATCACATGGCGAATCATATAGAATTTCGAGTCAACTAACGAATACCATAGGACAGGGGCCCCACAGAGGAGGAAATTACCCGTTTTTGGATGATTTGGGGGTGTCAATTAGGTAATGGAGGGGATCGGGAAATTAGTTCTGACGTTATGGGTGGAAACAGCAAATTATTGTACCGGGAGGTGGGGGTAATCACAGCCCGCAGACCATCTGAGATTGTAATGGAGCACTTGAGCGTGGAGACTGCTGTCATAGGACAAAAGCGGATCACGAACTGATATCATTCACCATATACGATAACACAGCACAATTCGAATAACCACTACGCTACCTATATCTTCCTGACATCTAAATACCAATCACAACACATTCATTAGTTGCAGCCGTTTGAATGCTGCTAATACAGTCTTCTGAATGCAACCCGTTGTTGTTATCGGCACAAACGTAGTGCTGCTTATGAAATTGAGAAGGTATGAGCTCAACAAAAATTACATTATTAATTCGTTAGAATTGTGCAAGCGATGATTCTGAGTAGCAATCTGCTGAATCGATTGTAACGCAAATGAAAGAGAAGGCGCTGAGAGGAAGTTTGAGTGATTACGGTAGAATGCAATTGACATGAAGAATGCTTTAGATCAAATGCAAAGAATTTGTAAAATACAAACGCTATTCAACAAATGCAATGTAAATTGCAAAAAAAAGAGCAATAAAATGTATTCGGAACAATTGAGATGAAGAACGGAAATGACGAATTGATACGAGTGGTTTGAATTCTTTGAGCGTTGAGTAGCATAGTTTTTGTTAGCTCGAGATTATGTCTGTTAGCGCTCTTAAATTCGCACATATGTGAAAAATGATCAATTGAGCATCTGAAAATTTTCAGAAGTTGGCATTCATTCTCACGCTTTTCATCAGTTTGATTTTCAAAGAATTTTCCACCCACATCGAAATAATACCATAATAATCTTTCCTTCACATTATTGAAGTAGTTTCTCAGATGTGTGACATTGAAGGCTATTCCGCAGGTTGCTAGAACTGCTAAGAGCAAGAAATGTTCTGTTGCATGCGATGCATCTCGAAAATTTTCAAGTATGTTGTATTTTATAGGTGTTTCAATGGTGGTTTCGCAAATGACACATAATAAAATGCATATTTTTTTAGCCAGTTTCAGAACGTTTCATTGAATGAGAGTTCTGCGTTCAAAAAGTTCTTCGTTTAGCAATCCTGTTTCAGCCAAAGAAAGACGCGCACAATTCCTAAGTGTTATGTATGTGGTCATCAATAGTGATGTTAGGGAAGAACTGAGATTAGTTCTTTTAATTGTGAACACATTAAATCAATCTGTTAATCCAAATGGTCATCCAAAAATATCTTAAACTACAATTCTGAACTGCTTGGATCAAGATCAGTAAGTTTCACATAGCATCCACCTTATTTCAGTGAATGTCTCATTCTTTCCGCTTTTGAGGGAATATTTGTTAATTGTTGCCTGGTATCTTCAGCTCCCTTGAGACTTCTGTGCATATAATTCTCAAAAGTTTGCAAACGAACGTCCATCTGTTTTGGCGTTTTTCTCGTGTGGCGATTAGTTAATTATTGTTAATTGATTAGTTAATTATTAGTTAATTAGTTAGAATTTTGTTCTTTTTGCACGATATTGCGATTTTCGTTTTTTTTTTGCAAAAAAAGAACGAATTGAAAAATGGCCATTCGAAGTTTAATAACTAGTTGAGTCATGTACATTATCATGTTCTGCAGATAATTAATAATCGATGAAGTTAAAGTGCCAATGAATGTCAACGATGAGCTGCATGAGAATTAGTGATCAGTGTTATTGCAGAGGAAAAAATTCTCCTCTGCCTGAATAAGGTTAATTTTCAAAATTTCATTTCTTTCGTTGCTTACATTACGTCTGTGATTACGAGTGTAGCGTATGCAACGTGTCTTTATGCTCACCAAATTTGAATGTCCACTCATTACGGAGTCTTGTGCAATTGAAGATGAAGACTTTCTGAATAATGTAAAACGCATACGCTTCACGATGACTTGATGTTTTATTTGGTATGTGTCGTGTTGTTTGTTGTACGTCATGTTTTGAAATCAACAAAGTTAACAAAGTGATGTAAACTTTTCAGTTTCATTTTAGAACACGCAAATCTTTCGTGATCCGTCGTAGTGAGTGAACGATGTGTTCGGTGGATACTCAGCCGTTAAGGTCGTTGAAAGAGTTGTGGGACTGGAAACCGGATGGTATCAGCCAGAATCTTATCGCTAAGCCGTTGCAAAATTGTGAATTTCATCAAAAAAGAACTGAAACATTGATATGCCACGATATGGCAGGTGGCTATCTACCTGAAGAAAGGTAGTATTGTTGCAAATGAAACTTCACTTCAAGCCGACATTCAGTTCGGGTTCAGTTACTTTTCTCTTGAATCATGATCTTATATTAATGGTTTCTTGATACACTAAACCATTTTCTTTTATGTTCTCTCAGAGCAATGAAATGCAATTAAATTTCAGAGCATCAGAAAAAGGAAAAAAACTGTATTTTTCATAAAACGATGCTTACTGCAGTGACAAAAACAGTAATGGTCATGACTATTACAATACTCACATCACTATAGTGTTTTCAACAAAAAATAGCTATCATTGTAATGATTGAAGGTTTACGGGATGTCAAATAACAGAAAAGTCAACGCCGTTCATTGTTATGCATTGGTGGTATATGGATATATTCGTGTATTTTTCACATCAGTTTATAACAATACCACCTGTTGGCTGGATAAATCAAGCGCATTCACATAAAGTCATGGTTTTGGGTCAGTTTCGTTTCACTGACGTGTTTATAAATGAAGAAATTGGTTATTGCGGAACTGATTGTAGAGTTGAAAGTTGATATGTTTTGAATGAGCTGCAGCAGAACGGTTGTTTGCGTATATCGCTAAAACAGATCAGATCTGCCGTATTCGTACTTGATTTTATCCATTGAAAAATAAATGGTTTGGATCATTTTCAGGGACATTTATCACAGAATGGACGTCAGGTGCGAAAATTTGTTCGGAAATTTTGGCGAGTGCTGAAAATGTGGAGAGAACTGTCGATAAGTTGGTAGAGATCGCAAAATTTTATAATTTTGAAGGATGGTTGGTGAACATTGAAAACGAAATTGAGGTTAGTTAGAATGAAATATGGGAACTTCCTCTGGTTTCCTGAAGATAATTTTTCCATCAAAGACATCTGATGTAGGCGATCAAGAGACCACTGGCAGATCACAGATAGATTGAATAGTATGAAACAGCAAAATCCATTGAACAAAGATGTAACTGCAACAATTCTATGGCCTGAATTCGCGAATAATTTGCAGCCCACACAACTGGAAATGCTTCATAGATTTGTCAGCTTATTAACAGAAAGGTCAAGAGCTGCGCTTGGTGAGTGCAGTCGTGTAATCTGGTATGATGCAGTTACGATTGAAGGGAAATTGGTTTGGCAGAATTGTTTGAACGATGCAAATGAGTCAGTTATTTCTGCGATATTGCTTCACTCTCTCAGATGATCTGAACAATGATTCGATAGTTCCTCCACATAAGTAGTTCACTTCATACCCGATTTTTTGGAATTGCAATTACCTATGAAATGATGAAAACGTTCGAAAATTCGTGCAAACGCCTTATGGTGATTTGTATGCATACAGATACTTATACGCAACTGATGTGATTCCGTAACTGGTAGACTAAACATTCAAGACTTTTATCCAGTGATGCAAAAAAACCAATTATTATAAATCATTAGCTAAGGAGTTTGCATAGCGACTTCTACCTTAAAATTGGATGGATACAAATGAGTGAAGTTGGATTTCGGAATATATCGCAAATTTTGCAGTGGAATTTATGAGAGTTTTCTAGACGTTGGTTCAACGAGACAAATGGTATTTTCCTCAATTATAACTGGACTTTGGAAAAGTTACAAGAAACTTTAAAGAGAGCTGAACAACGGAATCATCGCGTCTATGTCGGTGTGGATTGTTTTGGCCGAGGATGTTATGGTGAGTGACTCTTCATTTAGTCACATTTTCAACTCTATCTCCGACAATTATCCAACTGCCGTTCTTCACGTTCGTTTGGTGTGAGCAGTTCTCAGATGTCATCGTCGTATTATTTCCTTTTGACTTTATGTTATGGAAGTGATGAAAAAAAAGAGCGTTCCACGGAATTTTCGATCTCAAACGCAGCTCAAACGTTCAAATAATTTAATGTACCGTCGTCGTTAAAATTACAATGAATTCGCACTTTTTCTCATGTGAGGTGAGCATTCGATTGGTTTAATGGAAGGGAAAAGAAAAAAAAGCAATGAAATTTCATGAAATTAGGTGGAGGAGGTTGGAATTGTTGTGAAGCATTCAAGCAGATCCGAAAGAATGATTTATCAGTTGCACTGTTTGCGCCTGGCTGGGTAGCCGAAACGCTACCACCATCCGATATCATCTCGAATTCACTCAGGTATATTGCACACTCTCCATCTGTAGATTAGTGGTGATGCTATAAGCGTTGTTTTTTGAATATTTATTCATGGTATCCAATTTCAATTCAGATTATTTCTAGTTTCGTCAATTTTCTTGTCGGTTCGTTTATCATCTCAATCAATTTAGATTCTGGGATCGTCTCGGTGCATTCCTTCACAGTCGGCCAATTAATTCATTACCACTTGAAACCGACTTCTCAGTTGGATTCCATGAAACGAGCGATAATTGTGTGGTGTGTTCATGATTCCTTTCAGACGTCAGTAAATGTAGCTATCTGTTTGAATTATAATCTGTTCGGATCGAAATTTTTCTCATAGCAACAATTTTCCATAACAGTGAATATTTGCAGTGTTATAATTTGTCGAAAGCTTCTCTCCAACCTCATTATCTCGCCAACGGTGCATTTCCAACAGCTGGTCGAAGCAGTTCACTAATACTTCCTGGACGCACCATCTACAAGTAGGTTCTACTCACTTGTTTTCAAGCCGTTTGAGCCGACCTGAAGGTTCTTCAGCTGTTTAGTGTTTGGTTGCTGTTTGATCGGAACATTTTCAGTGTATAGTTCATCAGCCAATATTTCAAGGGTATAATTTTTCATCAAATTGAGTCTAGTGTATGATGTTCAGCAGACTGTAGTCTCGTTTTGCACGTCGGTTTTGTTGTAGTAAATCTGAGGAAATTTCCTTGTTAAGTTGTTGTTCCCTTGGGCATCATATGTGTAAGCAAACTTCTATTGAATTTAACAAATTTGAAGGTTATTCGAAATGAATTTGCGGGTGAAAGGTGATTTGGTTGTGCTGGTAAGTGCAGATCAACCGTTGAAACTTTTGATATGGATGAACGATAACGAGCGCTGTTTACCTGAAGACGAGGTGAATGAGAAAGTCGAAGAAAAGAAGAGGAATCAAGAACAGAGTGGCGATAAGGAAGATTTATCCAAGCAAGAATGGTGTTTGAAGTATGAACAAGAGCAGCACTTGGTTGGGGTCGGATTTGAATGTACACAAAAAACCATCATAAAGTATTTCTCGATGAAACCGTTTTTGCAAACAACAGTCAGTTCAGTTGAGTGTTAACTTATATGTTGTTCTGAGTTGTATTTATAATTATATCAACTTATTTCAATTATGTCGCTTATTTTCCCTATCGTCATGTAATGTGAGATTTATATTGATGTTGATCATTTATTTGACTAACTGAAAAAATTTTCATTTTGCTGTCGTATAATGCACTTTTGAAATGCTTTTCAAATTTTATGAACATATGCATCAGCTGTCCTGTAAAGAGAAGTTTTTTCTTGTAATATCGCGTTGGTTCGTATTTTATGGCTCTGAACAACTTTAAGAGAAGATTCTAAGTTACAATTCTTCTTGTTGTTTAGTTGGTATTTTTTTCTAAAGTAGATCTGAACAGATGAATTACGATGATCATTCGATGAAACTGTGGGATTGCTGTCACGTTGCGATGAATCACTGAAGTGTTTGAAATAAAGCAAGTGCAGTATAAATTTTGCGTAACATCACAACTATGCACCACCTCAAACTTCAGCTGTTGTTGAGTTTTCTTCAAACTGAGGAATTCAGAGCAAGAATCAGGAAAACATTGTAAAATGTCCCACTGAATGGTTTGTTACTGCGATTGATGTATAACTGAGGAACGCAATGATACCACTGAATGTCATGAGATGATTTTAGCAATTGCAACACACGAATAATCAGTGTTTAGTGTGATTTTTTTTNTTTTTTTTCAAAACTTCAGAAACACTTAAATTTTCAATGGTACCTCTCTTGTTTTTTTTAAAATAATAAACGAGTGAATAATTTGTATTTGTATATGCCAACTGGTTTTTCCGCTTCACAGTTGGAAGAGTGGAACTTTCATTCTTGCCTATCAGCAGAAAACTAAGATGTTAGGTATTGTTGCGGTCGTTTCTAGCAAAATGCATCGTCACTTCAGCTTGAGTCAGGGATGAATCGAATGACATACTCTGTCGAGTGCCATGAAAAACAAACAGGTGATACATATTGTTGAAATTTAGCCGAGGAGATTTGTCAGCTTGAGTTTTTCCACCCATAAAACGCAGTTGAATCGTCTAACAGAGGAAGTGCTTGATTTTCAGTAGAGTCCGTCGATGAAATAGACTGACTGCCTTCCTGGATTAGTTCCGTAATAACCCATTCAAAATGATGAAATTTTCCAATAACGTCCGAATTCACTTAAGCATAAAGCAGTTTCTGATTCTGTTTGACACTCTTATTTATGTAGTTTCTGATTAGCTTGCGCAGCTTGAAAGGACGTCATGAAGCTGAATTATAAGCAAAACACCGCATAGTGAACAGAGAATGCAATAAATCAAAAGTGAAATTTAAACATTAACGATTTTAATCATTGAACACATCGCGCTGTGATTTAATGGCGTACACCATTACAATTATTGCGGAAATCTTGAATTCAGACAATTTACAACAGACAGTGTAAAACTCTAATTGCCCACACGACTGCCCACCTTGGGTCACATATTCACTAAGTAGCGAAAGATATCCATTCGAATATTCGTTATTAGATGGGTCATTAAAAGACTGAAAATGAATCGTGGTACTGAATTGGTTAATTGATTAATGATAGAATATAAAGGTTACGAATTTCATCTGTCATAGAAAGCGTTTTATTAGTTTGTTGACAGCTTATTATCATATTAATTGACGAATTAATTCTTCGACAGTTTATTAGTAAATTGGTAATCTTGGATTATTCGTTTCTGGAATGTGTTCGTTTTTTTTTTGAGAATTTGAATGAGTCTGGACTTCAGCTGAGCTTTTTTTCGTAGTCATTTCACTTCTCCTTCGTTCTGGACTGGCAGTTGCGGCCGCTACTCTGAAATACAAGATTTATCGTTAAATTGCGAATATGTTTGGCTAGTCAGCATGTATTCCGCTGATTCACATCTACGCGTTACAACTCCAACACATCTGCTGAATAATCGTCAATGTTACCGTTTCTCGTTTCACTAATTTCTTTCATTGCTGATCATTAAAGGGAATATTTTCATCTTCATTCATAAAGTAACTTTCTATTCGATCACTGCAAATTGCTTAACAAATGGCAACTAAAAATTGAAGAACGTTATATAATTCGGCGTAAATTTTTCATCACATGCCAGTTTTATGCCAAAATGTATGTTGCTGAAGTCCACCACGAGATTCAAACTCGATGTAGACTTCAGCTTTTTCAGGAGCAGTTCAGGATGAATGGATGGAACTTCTCAGAACTCGTTCCGATAGCGACTGCCACTGGCGGACTAGCGGACCGCCTAAACTATAGCAATACGGTCGCTTTATTCGTGGCACTCATAGCGAATTCACTGATTATATTTCTGGCTTGTAGAATAGGCAGTTCAGTTATTCGCACCTACAGATGGATTATCGCAGTGCAATCGCTGATCGAATTATGCTATAACATCACATCATATGCGCTTAAGGAGGTGTGTTCCTTGTGACAATCCGCCATTGACTCCACATAACACTTATTTTTGGTTGTCATTTTATCAACAGTTGTCACAGAATCCACGCAATTCTCCACCTTCGAATACGGAATGGGCATGGCTGGTGATGTTAGGTTATTCATGATCTCCTACCAATTCAGTTGACCGAACACTGGATTGCTAGTGATCATTTGAATCTACACTTATAAGGTTATATTCGATATGTGACCCACCGGTAACTTGTCGCCTCCATAAGTCAGGACTTAAGCACAAATTCGGGCTCCATAATTCAGTTGTTCACGTATGAAAAATTATACAATATTTCATTCACTGAGAGTTTCATTAGTGATTGAATTGATCAAGAACGATTTCAGCAATATTATTGCCTAAACGATATGGTACGCATAGTCATCACTGGCCCGGCTACCTTACTATCAAGCGTCGGTGTCATTTGGACGGCAGTGCTAAACGAAGGTTTTCAGATGCTCACAACGATTGTCATCCCGATCGCTTTCATCAATCAATATTGGCGCATCTGCTGGTCAGCGACCGACGCATCTTTTTATTTAGTTCTCGATTCAACATTCATCCCATAGGCGACTTCTGCATTCAACATGTTTTACTTCCATCCTACCGAAATTCATCCCACCGATCATTTAAATCTTCCCTGTTAAAATCATACTTTCTAAGGGTCCACCGATAACTTGTTGCCTACAAAAATTTCAAGTATATCTTCCATAGCTAGAACGAAAATCCGTCGTAATAGAAGATGTGATATTGATGTGGATGCGAACATGTGATTTTAGTTAAGACAGTTCAGAGCGAGCACGTGAGTATAGTTACGTTACGCCATTGGTTTAATGATACGTGCATTGTTGAATAATGATGCTTGAAGTTCCACAAAGCATTGGATGAGCGTGCTCGATTCTCCATCGGATCATAATTTGTCTTTGAGTATCGATGTGGTTGTCATAATGTAGAATATAAGGCAAATAATGTAGAATATACCGATGGATCAGTTCGGATTATTTTTGCTCTAATACTGTTAGATGTGTACTTGTAACTCATCACGAGCATATTTTATTAGCTGATTAATGGATACTGCTATCTCCGCCGCACATAATCAACCTAATGAGAACAACTGGAGCGCTGTTTCAGTATGCCGATCAAAAATTCATATTTCGTGATTTCGACGATTATTTGCGCAGTCGTTGTGATTTGTGGTCTTGTTGCATTCAACATGAAGATGGTTGTGACTTCTATTCAATGTGTTATCCAAATTCCAAATCTTGGTTATGGCATAATCATGAAACCCTGGGTATGCGAACTGTATTTTGCAAAAACCTCCTGTGACCATTCACCATAACATTTCCTTGTACGACATCAGTTCAGATGCACTGAACTTATTTTACGCATGGTGCTTGCATTGTAAACAGAGACTGATCAGTACGAAGAACAATTATGAAAGATTTTCATCACTTATGAATTCGATCGGCATTCATAACTGTAACAAATAGAATTTTTGAATAATCCCAACAAATGAAAGCATTTTGTGAACGGTACGTTACGAATTGTAAATAAATGCAAAAAGACTAAGATTTCAGTAGTTTGTGCTATGAATTCGATTCAGTTCAGTTAAAATAAAGTATAAGTAGGATATATATCAGGATGCAGCTCCCTCGTATGCGCGCGTTGGGTTGTTTGTGGCAACAAATGTGACAGCCTATTTAATCGCTGGGTTCTGTGGTATCTCGTCGTTCAGAAGAACATCAAAACTGAGTATATCTGGGACATCGAAACGACTGCAGAAACGTTTCACAATGCTCATTTCACTACAGGTACGCTTCAGAACTATTTTATAAAGATCAATAAATAGTCACTTGGAAACAATTTTATCGTTAAATGAAGCTGTAAACTGGAATCGTATATGGTCAGTTCTATTCGGCATATGTAGCTATGTTTCGGTGTTTATTTGCAATAAC